CCCCCACAAACACACACACCTTTAACTCCCCTTTCTGCTCGGTCTTACTTTTTGTAAGCCAATAGCCTGTTTTTCATTCCCCCCTTATATTTTTTATTCTAATATAGGGCTTTGCGTTAAATAGGCCAACATATAATACAACATGAAAAAGTAATCATCTCCTCAGTGTAAGAAATTGAAAGCCATAGTCTCAGGGCTTTATCTAAAGGGCAGAGTTCATGGCTGGCTTTAAAAAAATGTAGTTTCTGTAAAAAAGCTTCTGTTTTATAAATAAGATAGTGCTGGGTAGGAATGTGCGATATGGCAAAAAATTCATATCACGATACACATTATGATGAGTGGTGGTAACGATATATATCACGATATAAAGTTTATAATAGAAAATAAATAAATCACACATTAATTGAGTGGAATAAATATCTATAAGTAAAAAAATTTAGACCTTAAAATCTCCTTTTTTAAGGGACACTTTAAAGTCTCTCATAAAAATCTAAATTTAAGGGAGATCTACCTGGTTAAATCAAATATATATAAACGCACACACAATAACTTTAATGTAATAGATATCTGCATCCATTGGATGTTGTGTTTGGAATAATGTACTTCGTTTTAAGGTGGTAAAACAAATTGTTTGTATTTATTCCTTTCTACACACTTTGCAGATTATTTTTTCTGCACTCCAAGTGTTTAATCTGTGCGCGCTCCGGCGGGGTGACAGTCATCCTGTTTATGCTTTACCATTTTTTTTGGAAAGACAGTCTGACTGTCACCCTTTCCCACAGCGCTTCTCCGCTGTACAAGGAGACAGTAAAGGCTGAGTTATAGTCGCGCTTTGGAACGCGCGCGGAGTGCGCGCATTCGGCCGTGCGTCGTCGCGCTATGACCGCAGGAGAAACGAGGTTCAGACTCAGTGAGCTTTTGTGCGTCCTGGAGCACTACTTCACCTGCACTTAAGTCGCATCACTGCGTCATGTGCCACGACGCACGCTCCTCCCAGAGCAGGCAGTGTGGTCGGTCGGTCGGCCTCCGACCGGAGGACGCGCCGTCACGTAAACATGTAAACAGTTCGGCGTTCATTTTCACACACCAGAACCAGGTCCGGATAAGTTTTTTTTCACCCCTCTTCATTTGCGCTCTCAGCCACGCTGCTTCCCGCTTCCTCTGTTTTGACTCCAGCCAGTTAAGTCATCAAAAAGAATTGCGTGGTTGGCCGGTAGGCTACAGATCTCTATCATAGGACAAATTTATATCGTTTCTACCGTATATTGTTTATATCGCGCATTCCTAGTGCTGGGCGGTATACCGATTCGTACCGAATACTGTTTTAAATTTTTGTTATGATATGAATTTTCTGAATACCGATATACCGGTATAAATAGCCTGAACACGTACGGAAACTTTTCGTTGCGGCTGCCAGTGAACTGCTGTTTCCCGGGYGACACTTTTCCTCGCAGCACCGCTATGTGCGTTAGCATGCTAATGTTATTGCTGAGCAGTTTGTTGCAGCGGCGGGTGGAGATTCTGCTGCTTATATTAACTGACGTTAAAAAAAACTTCCAGTTTTCGCCATTGCTGAATGTAGTAAACACATGTTCGGGGACGTGTGCACAGTTAGTTTAAACACGCAATGTTAATATGGAGACGCATGGAGACTTTAGCGTGGTTCTATTTGTGAAAAGCCCAGGGGAAGAAGTTTTGTAGTGGAGTTGAGTTGACTGGTGTGCAAGGTGAGTCGTGCTGTTAATGTTTATTAAATAACATAAAACAATAGAACCAATAATAATATTTTCTTAACCCTCCTTCACGACCGGACCAAAATGTTTTACTACTGTCTCCAACCACCAGTCAGAGAAAAGACACATAGAGGAGGGAAACAGCAACACAGACAGAGGAACAGTAAAATAAAAAAGTTAATAAACAGTGTTTGCACATTTTATTATCAGCTGAGCTGTGATGAAAAGAAAACACCATGATATACCGTGAAACTGGTGTAAATGTTGAAAATACTGTGATATAAAATTTGGGTCATACTGCCCAGCTCTAAGATAAGATACAGTTTGTTTCCTGTCAGGACATGAAACATCAAGCTGAAGCTGCTTCTCCCCATTTAATGGCGTTTGCACATTTTTTTTAATTTTTTTTATTTTTTGGCTTTAGTTCAGCTAGCACAGAGGCAACACTTGGAAACAAAAAGTTTGGTCTTTAAAAGTCTTTTGGTTGCCAAAACCTTGACTCTAAATGAAGCAGGAGTTAACTTGTGTTTCCTGAAATCCTCCTGTTGTTCTTCCAGCAACCAGAGATGGCTCATAGGTTTGGTTTGTTGTAATCTTTTGAATCTCTTGGACTTAAACTGCAGCAAGTTTTGTAACTGAATCGGGGCCTTTTTTTATGAGAGGTTAGAGAAAAACTAACTGGGATTGACAGGCTTTTGATATATTATCGCTGTCTCTGAGTGGATCCTGAAGGCCTCGGGGAGTATGAAAGTTGCTCCAGTTTATCAGGTGCCTCGTGTTCAAGTGAAAACATGAACATCTTTATAGGCAGAGAGGTTTTTTTTCCCACCGACAGCAGCCACACTGAGGTAAAGCTGAGATTTTTACAGCAGCATATCTGATTTCATCAAAGGCCGTCAGTCGTGCTCGTCTTTCTCCTCTACCTTTTGTCCTTTTTGGAAATGTGACTCCAAAGCTGCATGCTTCTCTTTAACCTCCCCCCTCCCCCGTGTCTTGTTTCTGTATCCCTTCAGCCTCCGTCCTTCTCTGTGAAGTCACATGTGAAAGTGATCAGCTTAATCCCGATCACCAGCTGTGTTTAACCTACTTTAGGTCGGGAGCGCTCGCCTCCTCTGCTTTGGCTTTTGTTTGAGTGGCATTAGCATGAACACGGGACGCACGCTGGAAGCTTGACCTGCTAAAGTCCGACACAAATACCCTCTTTATTTGTCTTTACTCCTGACATGTGAAAGTCAAACCATCTGGTACAGTGACTCTACGTAATGCCTGCTTGCTGGTGCCATGATGTGTTACATGTACGGACCAGTGTAAACATAACTCAACATGTAGCGACTGTTAGCCTCCTGTAATTTACTGTTGAACTCTATGAAAGTTTAAAAAAAAGTTTTTCTCTTTTTTTAATTAGTTACACACGAATAAGCAGAAACCTGAAAAATTAATTTTAACTGCTAAAAATAATTAAAAACTCTAAAAATTAAAAATCAACCTTGAATGATGGAGCTCTGTTATGCACAAATGTGATCATTTTCCCTTGTCTTTGCCTAAAAAATCCAGCATCGGAACATTTGAAAAAAAAAAAGTTTCTAAATGAGCCTAATGAGTGTAGAAAACAAGCTCTGTTTCAAATATGTGCACTAGTCTAAGTGTAGAGCACAGATGTGGATCAGTCTTGTTTTGGGCTTGTGTTGTTTTCAGGTTCAGGGAAAAATCCATTCAAGAAAACTATAAAATCCGCTCTTAGAAAATGATGATAATCCAAAAAAAAAGTAAAATTTTAAAATAAACTTCTAAATGAGTCCGATTAGTTTAGAAAACAAGGGCAGTTGTTTCTGAAAGGGATGCGCTGATATGAAAATTTCAGCCAATATCGATATCGATATAGTTATTGGTGTTATGGCCAATAACTGATATTTACCGATTACACAAACACACAAATTGTATTGTACATAAGCGCACAAACACACTTGGGTATTTTTTTGATACGGTAAATAAACAACCAGACCTCTGACATGGCTCCCTACTTTAGTTATATCAGGTTTCACAGCATCAATATCACCATCATGATCAAACAGATGCTGCTCAACCAACCATCTCTCCTCCCAAAACAGAAACTCAAAGCTAAAAAGTGGGAAATCAATATCAGACGTTTATATTGGTCCAGTTTTACGTATCGGCCGATACCGATATTAATGCAGAAATATTGTTCTTCCCTAGTTTCTGAAGTTAAATATTTTGGATGCAACAAGCAAAGACTTGTCCAACTGTAAAGCATGGAGGTGGAGGACAATTTGGGCTACATTTTATTTATAAAATAATATGTTAAAATCTGCTAATACAAGATGAACCAAAACAAACATCAAGTTCTACAATTGCCATTGAAGAAGCTGAATCTGAGTCGTTCACTAAAATCTGTGGACGTTTTTTGACAAAGATCTCCTGAATGATGACATTTACAAGCCTGCTTTCCAGTGTAGTGCTGGTTTTGTAGGTTCTGGGTAAAGTTCTGAATGGGTCCTCAGCAGTGTGGTTGTGAGTAATCAAGCCTTGGATCTGCAGTTTTATCAACATATCAGCGATCTCCCTGGGCTTCTTCTCAGCAGCTCATTTGGGTTCCAGCTGGCAGCCTTCCTGACTCGGCCCTGTTTCCGTAAATTCGAGTGAATGCGTTCCCGAGGGGTTTCATTTAATTTGAAGTTAACGGATCCAAACCTCCTTGGTCTCCTGCATCCTTACAGTCCAAGAAATAAAAAAAAAAACTGCACAGCTATAACACGAAACATGTAGCAACTCTTTAACTAAACTCCCAGCAGAAGCACTGTTGGAGTAAAGGAGGCTGAAATAAAGTTATTTTTTCTTGGTTTGTATTTTTATAATATAATAGAAGAAGAATCATATAAAAGCTATTTTAAAGTGACGATGAGAGAATGTGAAGGTTGGGTTAACAGCTTTTAAAGTCTCGCAAACAAAATATGACACTGTTTTTGTTTCTTCCTTCTCTCCAGGATCCCGGCCCCTCACCCCCGTCCCCTATTCTGGGCCACAAACCTCTGCAGCTCATCGAGATGAAAGCCAGGGGGCGCTTTGGCTGCGTGTGGAAAGCCCAGCTGTTGAATGAATATGTGGCTGTGAAGATTTTCCCTATTCAGGTTTTTTTTTTCTTCTTCTTTTTTACTTTTAAGCACAAATTCAACTCCCAAAGCTAGCAACTGAAGGAACAATCTTGATGTTTTTGTTCAGGACAAGCTGTCCTGGCAGAACGAGTATGAGATTTACAGCTCGAGCGGCATGAAGCACGACAACGTCCTCCAGTTTCTGGGCGTGGAGAAGAGGAGCAACAACCTTGACCTGGAGCTGTGGCTCATCACCGCCTATCACGACAAGGTGCTCGGCCAGGGATGGAGACACAGTCAGCCAGAAAATGGCTTATTGTGTTCTTTTACCTTGTTTTTGTTCGTTTGTTTTCTAACTCTGCTCGTGTAAAATGCAAGAGTTTGTATTCATACTCAGGACAAAGCAACATAAATCAGCTTCTTTTTAGCATTTCTTAAAAAAATGCATATCGCTTCATAAATTACATAATGTGTGATCTCATGATACTAAGCCATGTTATCTTAAGGATAATTCTCCATAATTTAAGCTTACTAACTGTAAAATAACTCAATTAGATTCATTTTTGTCTCAGTTTATTCCAATTAGCTGTAGGTAGGTACAAATAAATAAATTCACACAAACATTTGGCAGAAAATCCATACCGACTGAACGCCACACAATGTTTTTGTCGTTCTGGCGTTGTGTCCTCCCTGTTGTTTTCTCCTCTCAGCTGCAGTCTGAGCAGCGCTCGAGGCTCTAAGAGCCTCTGTGTTTGGAGGGTCATCACCGACCAAGTGGAGAGTGATTCTCTTTGCCTCGCTTTCCTGAAAATGTCTCCCTGCCAGACTTAAGATGTAGATCTGCGTGCTGAAGTAGGCTTCCTTCTTTGAGGGTCAAAAATTGAAGGTGTGGCGGTGAAGCTCTTGGAAAGCCACTTGATTCTGCAGGGATGCGACAAGTGCTTCTCTGATTCTCAAGAAGAAATAACATTGAAGAACTTTATTCTTTGTTTTGTGTTACTTTTATGTATTTTTTTGAGTAAAAACGATGCAAAAGCGGGGATATTCTTATTAAGTGCTGAGTCTCAAAGCTTGGGCCTGGACGATCAGGCGTCAAAATGATTGCACATTTGAACTTAAAATCCTGTTACCCAGCTGATTGTGGAGTTTAGCATCTCTTTTTGCAGCTGATATATGCCCTGATATATAATGCATCTGAGTGGCTTTTATGTTTGTAGCACAATCTGTGAGCTGAGGCTCGCTGCAGAAACTTCCCACGTTTTGATCTCTTTTAATCGGATGTTTTAGTTTGACTTTCAAACGGATATTGGCCGACTTGTAATTTGAGAGAGAAGAACCAGGACCTGCTGTGAGCAGGTATATAAACATTCAAAGATTTGTCCTGAAGCAAAACAACCGGTGAGATTCAGCTTCATTTAGCGGAGCTATCTGCCCTCTAGTGGCCACTTGGTAAAACTACGTTCGTCTTTGGCCTTGAAACAAGTGACCTTGTGTTATTTTCACACGTGTTTAAACTCTGCTGGCCTGAAATAAATGGGTCACACACTAACGTTTAGCTTTGATTATGGGATGCACTTACTGCAGTATGATTTATGGAATTCCAAAGATTTCTCTGTGGTTTTATGGTTGTGATTATAAGAAGTAGAAATTATGTAAATATGTACAAAATATGTCTTTACAGTTCTCAACAATCAGAAGCCTTTTTATTTTATTAGATTCACAGATAATGTGGTTTATTTAAAGTGCCTATGACAAATTTAGCACTGATTTTTTTTTTTTTTTTAATTCATGGGTAACGTGTTTTTTAAATGAAAAAAATCTTACTACTCTGTGTCTATGTTTACCTGTGAAAACAGCCAAAGTGACTAAAAATAGATGAACACCGGTGATGTTTATAGAAGAGCCGTTTGGGAGAGAGATGTCTGACAATATGTTTGCTCAGATTTGTTGAGTACGGTTTACAAATAAAACTGTTGTTTACATTGAGTGCATCTATGCGTTACTGAGGTGCATGTCAATATAAGTTGAAAACTGTCTATAAACTTGTTCAGCTTCAACTTGTTGTGATTTGCAGTGATTGCTTTTAAATGTGGAGGTTTCCTGGCATTGAAATAAGCTTGTTTACTGAATATACATGGATTTAAGTTCTTTTAAGTTGTGTATTAGATGTGTTAGTTTTTTTGAAAGAGAGCAGCTTTATTTCCAACAAGGCGTGTTTTAAAACAAAGTCATTTAAGAAACAAGAAGCTGCTCACTGCATCGCTTCACAACATCAATATGGAAATCTTTGCCCAGTCCTTGTGTTTCCTTTTATTTACTACAACCTTCAATAGAAAGGTTCCTGTGGAAAGAAAAGCTTCAAATCTGTGTACAAAGATGAAAAGTAAAACACAACAAAAACAGTGATTTAAAGATCAACATAACTAAAATAAGATAAATGAATCCAATTTAACAGAGCTTCGTTGTTTACCAAAAGTGGAAAAAATGTTTATTTAGTTAGTTGATGATGAAATTTTACACAGCTGAAGATGATGATTTGAGTTTTTTTCTGTGATTTGTTTAAAAGAAGTGTTTATATTAATTATTACTCATTTTTGCTCATTATTGTTGCAAACCTATCAAATCAGTTTTGTTGTTGTAAACTTGAGTTTTCTGCAGCGATCTCTAAAGACAGGAACATGTCTGGTCTTTCCATCTTCAGGGCTCCCTGACTGACTACCTGAAGGCCAACGTGGTGTCCTGGAACGAGCTGTGCCACATCGCTCAGTCGGCGGCCCGTGGCCTGGCCTACCTGCACGAAGACATCCCGGGACACAGAGATGGCCACAAGCCCTCCATCGCTCACAGGTTCAGCTGCTTCTTATTAGAACTCTGTCAGCGTTCTGATGCTCGCTGGTCCGCACACGCCTTTGGGACTAAGAGTTTTCTGATTTCCCTGCAGGGATATCAAGAGTAAAAACTTACTGCTGAAGAACAACCTGACGGCCTGCGTTGCTGACTTTGGGCTTGCACTGAAGTTTGAGGCTGGAAAATCAGCAGGGGACACACACGGACAGGTACGGCCAATAACTACTTCTGCATGCTTTCAGCTGGTTTTCGCCCTTCATGCATCAAAACATTCAGCTCATGCAGGAGATGGGTGCCATGGCTTCAATTCAGGTCAAAATTACTGTATTCATCTCAAAGGGAAATAACTTTATCATTATTTTTTTTACTTTTATGCTTTTCAGAATATTTAACTTTATTCAGAAACCAAATTCCCCGTATAAATACATTAAGATCCCTTCATTTACTTTCAAATCTGCTTCAGTGTACAGGCTCTTCTCTTTTTTTCTTCTGCTACTTTAAGCTTTTAGCTATCCTTTTGCTATTTTTTGCTTCTAGATAGAGTTTTACAACTTTTAGCTTTAAGTTAGCGTTTTGATTATTTTTTTAAACTTTTTACTTCATTTGACTTTTAACTATTGTTTTGTTACTTTTAACTAGCATTTTGCTACACTGAGCATTTAGCTAGTGTATTTTTTTAGCTAACCTTTGCTGATTGTAGCTTGTAGCTGTTTTCCCCTAGCTTTTAGCTTTTATTTTGCTACTTTTAGCTGGTGTTTTCTGCTTTTAGCTATTAAGAAGGCTTTTTGATACTTTTAGCATCAAACTAGACTTTTGCTACTTTTAGATAAAAGTTTACATTTTGCTGCTTTAGCTTTTATGTATCTATTTAGGTAATGTTATAGTTTTACCTATCATTTTGCTTCAGTTAGCTTTTAGCTAGTGTTCTGCTCGTTGGAATTTTAATTACTCAGTTGCAGCTGCTGTTCATTTCGCTCCAGCATTGTGTCTTTATTTAACTAGCTTAATGTCTTTAGTTAAATGAGCCAGAATCAGCTTAAAGAACTCAAAGTAACTCATTTCTATGTTTAAGTCCTCCTGACATTTTGTTTTTGATGTTTTTGTTCACATTTTTATTCACAATACTCTTTGTTTGGATCGTGCAGGTGGGAACCCGACGTTACATGGCTCCAGAGGTTCTGGAAGGTGCCATCAACTTCCAGCGCGACTCCTTCCTGCGTATCGACATGTACGCCTTCGGACTCGTCCTGTGGGAGCTCGCGTCACGCTGCACTGCCGCCGACGGTGAGAGCACAGCCTCAACGTAAACCCCTCGACTCCGCCTCCTGTTCTCCTGTTTGATGCAGAGTTTTGTTTGTGTTTTTCGTCTGCAGGCCCTGTAGACGAGTACATGCTGCCCTTCGAGGAGGAGGTGGGTCAGCACCCGTCTCTGGAGGACATGCAGGAAGTGGTCGTCCACAAGAAGCTGCGGCCCTGCCTACGGGACTGCTGGCAGAAACACACGGTGAGCCGAGAAAGTTCGCTGCTGTCGTTTGATGTTTGGCAGCAAAAGTGAAGCCAGAACAAGCTGGAAAACAAGTGGAGATTTTACAGGACTGAAAGCTCATGTAATAAGCACGAGGCAAAACACAAGCTAAAAGTCAAATGGCTCGCTAAACGTAAGATAAAAGTAGAAAACCTCCGCTAAAATATTAAAGGTGGGGGGTCCTAGAACAAGTTAGGATCCATCTGTGTTCTCCATGACTGTTCTAAAACAGCAGAACCATCCTGTGAAGAAGTGGGTGGAGTCTCTGCCTGGGTTAGCAGGAGAAGAGCTGGGCTCAGGTTGGGGTGGGCTGGAGTGAGACTTGTGACATCACAAGTAGCGGTGTTTGAAAGCAGGTCATTTCAAGACAGAAAGATACATTTACTTATAGTAAAAATACCTCTGAGTGCATTTTTTGGTGCTTGGACTGCTTTTAGAAGCAGTACAGACCCACATTAAGTTAGAAATCCTGAAAAAAGTGAATTTTGCATATTTGGTCGCCTTTAAAGATATCATATCATGCTTTTAAATCCTTTTTCACGTCTAAATCATTCACTTATGGTTTATTTTAAATAAAACTGCAACGTTTTGGTCTTAATTCCTCATTTTTGTTGCTCCACAGACTCCTTGCTTTCCTTGCTTTACCCCTGTTCTGAGTTGCGCCTCAGAGCAAGCTGTTTTGGTGCGGTCTCTTTAAACGCAAGTGAGATATTTCACACCCTGCCCCCTCCAGGTCCCTGAGCTTCGACTCCACCCTGTTCGGCCATATTTGTAGTTTCATAGCAAAAACACAGTTATCTACCGACTAAAAACTGTTTTAAAGATAAAATAAGATAAGATAAAACTTTATTGATCCCACAGTCTGGAAATTTGCACATTACTGCAGCTTAATACAAGAGAGGCTGAGAAGAATAATGAAATATTAATAAATGATAATAAACAAAACCCCACAATATACACATGATATATAGTAATGTACCAATGCACATATACACATATACATAAACACATGTGCTTTTTTATATACATATATACACCGTAAAGTACAGTACAAAAATGAATGTATGAAGGTGCATATTAGTGATGGAAGATGGCAAGAAAGTATAAGGATGTCAACAACYGTAGACTTGTCAATCCAGCCTTACATGTACGAGCCAGAGTCTGACCCAGTGCAAGACACTCAGAATGACAAACCTGCAGAACCACGTCTTCAAACGAATGTGTCACAATGGTGCGTTATTTATTTACACACTCTATGTCCTTACCTACACTGGGGAGCATAGCTAAACTAAAATACATGCATTTGAACTACTATTATATAATTTACTTTTGTGATCAATAAAGTATTTTTTAATTGAACAACTACAACATACTCACACTCACTGTACAGATGTGAAATAATTTTGATGTTGAAATTAATTAATTTTTATTCATTAGATTGATATATTTTGTTACATAAAATGACTATGTTCCCAGCTTATTTGATGCAAAAACAGCAACACAGAGAAAAAAGGAGACACACACATCCATCTTGCTATCCTTATGAGGACTTCACACACAGCGCTCACAGCTTCTCTGCCTCATTCTGCTGCTCCCGTTTTTAACACCAGGCAAAAAAATGCATTTAAAACAGCTGACGTTAACGTTAGATCACAGTTTGAAACGCTCCAGCATTTTTAAAAAGAAAAACAACACAGACACGCTGATTACAGTGCGGGGCGAAAGTGAAAGTAAAACGACATGGTGCTGAGCACCCGTTCGGTAAAGAAACTTAAACACAGCTGTTCTTTCTCCTCTCATATTCTGACACAGAGGGTAGAAACAGCTAAATTAGACAGTTAAAACACATTTACAGTTCATAACTCACCCTTGTTTTTGTAACATTCATCCTGTGTTGTCCACAAGCACCTTCCGCCCTGTTGTGGGTCCATTTCCTTGAAAAATGAAACCTAACCAGGCACTTTGAAGAAGCTCTGCTCTGACGCTGGTAGTCTATGTAGATAATAATGTGGGTTTACACACCCAGAACCGAACATTTTGACTTCTGAACTTGCACTTTCGCCATGACGCTATGAACTACAAAATCACACAGCGAGGAAAAAAATGGTGGACTATGAAATCCAGTTGGCCGGAAATACATTACCATAAATGGTAGTTCCGAAGAAAAAAGTGTGACAAAATAAACAATGAAACTAAATAAGCAATGAAATGTAATAAGCAACAGCAGATTTTGAACAAACTGAAAAATTTGACCCATAAAATAATATAAAAATATCTTTGCAGTAACTGGACAGAATAAATTAAAGTTTTCTTCACTCCTAGACACTATAATTGCACAAAAAATAGTTTATAAATGCAAAAAAAGTGCATTTATATGATTGATATGTCTCCTTTAAGGTACCAAAAAAAATTATATGTCGAAGCACATTTCAAACAGAATGTTTTAAAGCACTGAAGCAAATATCAGGGAGTTATGAAGGAATATTTTTAAGGGGGTGGGGGGGGGGTGTAATTATGTAACTTTGACTCTTTTGATCTTTATATCATGTTATAATGTCATTCCCTCATCAAAAACATTCCCAGAGTGTTGCTTTGACGCGTTCCAGCATGTTGAAGAAATATTGAATCTGCTGTGGTAGCCATGTGAAGCTGCCGAAATGTTTATTGGTACAAAGCACCGCCTATTTGTACATAGCTCCTCCTTGGAGCTCAGACTGCAGCCTAGGCACCGCCCCACAGGGCACCCCTCCCACAAAGTGGTGTTGTGATGACGTGCTGAAGTGAGAGAGTCTGATCTTAGAGCGACAGAAGCCAAATTCAAGTTTTTTTACATATTGTATAGCTCATTACAACTGAAGTTACGTGGTTGTGATATAGAATTGAACCATGTGTTTGGAAAATACGTTATACTGCCCCTTTAAACTATTTACATTTGTAAATACAGAGAAAAGTACAAAAGTGGCTAAAACCAAAAATCATAGCCCCCATTTCCTGAGTGAGCTGAAAGTTTTGATTTACAACTAGCTAAAATAACGACACAAAGTATGTAAAAAAAATAAAAAGAAAGAAAACTCAAGGAAAATAGTGTAAACTGTGGTTATGTTCTTGTGAAGAAAGAGCTCCCTGCACAACATCAGTGTGTCTGTGGTGACATCTTGTGTTCAGGAGGAGAACCATCTCCCATGTTTTGATCCAAACATCTCTGCTCACAGTTTCCTTTGCTCCATCACACAGTGACAGTTGTGACACAGGTGAGCGGTGAAACAAACTGATCAGAGGTTTTCTTCTTGTGCTCTCAGGGTCTGGCCATGCTCTGTGAAACCATTGAGGACTGCTGGGACCACGAGGCCGAGGCCCGCCTGTCAGCCGGCTGCGTGGAGGAGCGCATCGGCCAAATGCAGCGCCAGGCCCCCATCATCGGCCCCGAGGAGATTGTCACCGTGGTCACCATGGTGACAAACGTGGACCTCCCGCCGAAGGAGTCCAGCTTATGATCAGCCCACCGACCAACGATCGGGACGAGCTGCCGGATATCTACTGGAGAGGATCAGACGGCCGGCCCTGGCTGGTCGGCTTTTTATTTTTCCTTACGTTTCGTCTTCTCTTCTGGGTTCCTTTAAGTGCGGGCCGCTACTTCAGGAAACAGCCTGCGCCCACCTCACCCACATTTGTCGGGATCCGCCTCATTTTTGATACGCGTGCCTGAGGATTTTAACTTTCCGTTTTCTTTTCCTCCTCCTTCTCTCTTTCAAGCGGACGATTCAGGATACGCTGGACAAACAGTTTGATTACCTGTTGATTTTATAAAACACTCATTGGATTTCTTTCAAAGGATCTAGCAGAGCGATTTCTCCGTTCATTTTAATGTAAAAAACCGGAGAGAGAGAGAGAGAGAAAAGACGAAGACTCGTCTCCTAAAACATTTATTGTTTCCTTGTGAGCGTTCCTTTGAAGAATCGACTATCGTCTGCCAATAAGCAACAGCTTCTGAATGTTTATAGTGTAATGCTGCTGTACATAGTGTATCATGAACTTGGTAATCGGTTCATTTTAATTTTTTTTTTGTGGGGGGAGGGGGGTTGCCCATTTTCAAGCATTACGACAATAGAAACCATAAACCTCCTTCAACCAGGTATACCTCAGTTTAAATTAGTCCCTCTCCCTGCTCACAGTCCTCGCCCTCATCAGACGACGACCTGCTGTCGGACACCACGCTCATGGTTCAAAACATGGCTTTCCTCCCCTTCACCCATGTAGCTTCTCCTCCTTTTTGATTTTAGCTCTTGATCGATTGATGAAGTTGTCATTTAACGTGTTTTTCTTCTTTTTTTTTTTTTTTTTTCTTTTTTTCCTATTTGCTCTTTCAGCTGCTGATGAGTTTAATTAACAGAACTGGAAACCATTAACTGATTTTAATATTTGGTATCACAACTGAGATGTCAAACTCTTGGAGCGTGCTTTTATTGTGAAAGGCAGAGCGACAATTCGCCCAGTATTTTACCGTTTCATTGGAGGCATCAGATTCGAAGCCCTTTGTGTATTTAGCTGAGCCAGCTTAGTTTGGATTTAATTGCACACATCTTTATTTTCCTGTATTTTTAGTACTGTCACAAGTTTCTGCTCTCTTTTTGATACACCTCAGGAATCTTTGCTACCCACCTCTTCATCCTCACCTGTCTGGACCTGGAGTATTTTCTCTTCCGCTGATTTAAACCCTTCATTTATTTCTTCTTCTTTGCCTCGTTTTGCAGCCTCTCTGCCAGGCTCGGACACTAAAACTAGAGTTAATTTTGCTCAAACTCAGCTTCAGACCTTTTTTTTTTTGTAGTTTAGTCCATGTTGTTTTTTGTAATGAACTTTCACACAGTGGACTTGTGGGGACATTTTTAACCCCCTGAAAACCTAAAGGATAATCAGCATATTTCTTCAGCCACATACAAAACTAAAATCATAAAAACAAACAAAAAAAAAATCTCTTGATCCACACTCAAACACTAACCCAACACTGCAGTTAGACGAGCTGAAACACTCATCCTGGTGCCATTTGTACCTATCCATGTGTTACTCTTGTAGATGTCAGGCCAAACGGATGTATCTGTCACTGCTGTGACGTTCTGGAGTCTTTATTTCCTCTGAGGGATGTTGAACACTGGTGCCGGCAGACCTGCAGTCTCTCCTCAAGCTTTGGGGGGGCGTGGTTTCAAAGGGCGCAGTTTAAAATCAGATGTGGAAGAAAAAAAAACAAGGAAACTTCTTTTATTTTATTTATTGTTTTTTTTTTGTGCAAAAAAAAATCATTTTTAAAGCATAGATGTGCTTTCTTTGCTTCTCAGAAAACTCAGTACTGTAATACAAGATGAGCGCTACAGTGGGGGAAGTAAGAGTTGTCCTCACCAATTTGTTCATGGATGGCCGTGGATTCAAAACATGTAGAGGTGTATTAAAAATGGTGGGAGTAATGCATATATGCAAGTATGGAAAGCCCCAAAGGACAATCTTTATTTATTCAAGGGAAGAGTACATTAAAAGCAAAGTGGTTAAGTTGGCATTAACTAGTAGGATTTATTTGGCCTAATATCCCTTGAGCTGCGTTTCCATTGACCATGAAAATGTGCAAATTAGAATTTCAAAAATAAATTTGCTCAATGGAAACCTGTCAGTTTTGTAAAAAAATTACGTTTTTCGACAAAATGTTTTTGCGCTAGGATGAGGTGGTTTTTTTGGCCGTATCGAAATTGGTGTTTTTCGCAAAACTGCAATGGAAACACTTTTTTCGCATCACGGGAGTCACGTGATCAACAACCGGCTGTTTCTACTGGTGAAAAAGACGACGACGAAGAAGATAACAGGAAGTAGAAGTAGTAGTAATATCGCAGAAGTAGTAAAATAAAGTAGTAAACTCACTGACTACAATTTCCCAAAAACACAGCAAACGTAGCCGCTCCCAAGTAGGGACTTGTCACTGGAAAGTCTCGATAAAAGACGTCGACGTCTCCTCTGATGATGAGCGCTAGTGTCGTGGTAGCAATATGCTATGTGTTTACATCCATTGCCGCCATGTTTGTAATGATTTACCGTGAGAAAAAAAACGTATTCACGTGTAACTTTAATAGCATTTCTTACTTAATGGAAACACCGCAGTTGCAAAACTGTTTTTTCAACATTAAAGGAATATCGACAAAGTTTTGCGCACATTTGCAATGGAAACGCAGTTACAGTAATGCTTTGAAAGAATTGTGTAATTCACACACTACCCAAATTCTGTTTCTAACGATTATTTTGATCAAGTTTTCTTATCGGTTCAGCCTTGCATCCACTCGAAACCAGCATTTTTGGAGTGGGCTAACTTACAAAATCAGCAGAGGATCAAATAATTACTTCTCCCACTGTAAATCACAAAATAAAGAACTCATTTGATTTGTAAATAGCTTGTGCAATTAATTAACCTGACTTTATTTTGTTATCCAAACACTCAGAGAACTAGAACTGACACGTAACAGAGCAAGTCTGAGATCTTTGTTTTTTTTCTGCAACGTTTTTGCAACAACAACACAGCAAACCTGAAGGAAGTTGAAGCCATCGTCTTATTTCCACACTGTAGCACGAGAAACAGCATCTGTTGCTTCCTTTTTGCTGCCGCAGTTAACAACGCGGCTTTCTTTGAACCATCAGGAAAGACCAGTGCTGCAGCCCTTCAATAAGTACTACCTCACTGGCAGGGATTTCTTTGGGGTAGAAGGTGCAGCAATATTAACCAAAATCAGTTCCTGGAGAAGTTATCTTACAAGTTTCTTTTGTTCAGTTTTAACATTGAAAAGAAGTTTCCCTGTTTTCACAGCGATACGTTCTCAAACAAACAAAAACAAGCAGCAGTATTAACCCCCCTCCTCTTTTTATTTTCTAAAGTTTGTTTTCTTAAATGATGAACTTGGCCAAATCGAAGCCACTGTAAACAGTAAATGTGGGAGAGCTAACGTGCTTAAACTGCGCCCAAGAAACCAAGCCTAACCGATAAACACCATTCAGGGAATCAGTACTATGCTTTTCTAAGTTCTAGCAAGTTATATGCAACCAGTGCCGCAAACTACCCTACACTTCTGTAGGATCTGCTGCAGGAGTGGCTTTCAATACACACACACACACAAATAACTTGTAGCATTTTAATTTTTTGTTTTGTTTTGTTTTTGTTTTAATCCGTGACCTTGCATATTGATATGTTGTATTTATTTCTTAATTTTCTGGCATGAGGTTTCGGGGATTAGAGCTCAGGTGCAACTCAGAATAAAAAAAATAACAATAATAATAATAATTGTAAGAGTTGGGCCGATTTATGGTTGTTATTGTTGTTATGGGGTTGGTGGGGAGGGTCGTGGGTGGGTTTGAAATCAGGAAATATTTTCATCAGTTCAAAAAGAAAAGAGAAAAAAAAAACCTGTAACATGCTTCTTTCTATTCAGTCTTCGGACAAAAAAGACCGAGAATGAATGTTCTACAGACTCCTGGATTCCATATATACAGTGTGTGTACTTCAATGGATCGAGCCCGGCCCCGTGTAAATTTAGAGGGCTTCGGCTGGTGTTGTGTGATTGTGCCCTGTCCTGTAGAAAATAGTAAAAGCAACATATTTGGTCATCCATTCATGCACCTTTTGGCGAACAAAAACATCAGTTGTACTTCACTTGTTCTAATGACACTTAATGTATTCTTAATCTGGCCTGAGCTAAATATCTCCTGACCCACTGGACAGATGTTAATGAAACGTTCATAAAGCAATCACTGGATGTACGTCTACAACTCATTGACTTTTGGAGTCACCCCAATTCAAGATGGCTGCTTCACTTAAACAACCTTAGACATAGAAATGTCTTTTTTACAGATACTTACCTAAAATTTGGTGTGCTAGTAACTGGGAGTCACCCTCAACATATAATCTATGCAGTTACCTTGCATAAGAGCTTCTTTTTTCTTTTTTTACCACTCTTTTTAATAATATTTCTTGTTTTAAAAACAACAAACACCCCCGGCCCAGCATCTACCCCTAACAAGCTAATGAAAGACAAAAAAATATGAAAGAAATAAAAGGTTTCAGAATGTTCCGACAATCTGTGCCGTAATGTAGGGGTGAAAAAAGGAATTTCAGGTTCCAAAGTCAGTGTTTCAAGTTCAAGAAAGTAACGGACTTCTCTAATCCAGCTTGTAAATGTTGGTAAAGCAGCAGATATCTTATTTAGCAGTATTAGCCTCCTGGCCTGCAGTCTTGTAAATGCTATTAAGTCCTTTTTAGCAGGAGAGAGCGTAAATAAAACAGACTATACTTCAAACAAAGCTGCAACACCATTTTCAGTTACACCAGATTCTGTTGGGAAAATGTCTGCATCGTTCACACAGACAAGACACTGTGTCCAGTATTTCATCTCCAATACATACTACAAGCACTACTAGATCACATACTTTAAAAGTTTGCCAGTTTGAATTATTCAAGCAAATATCCTGACTCTCATTTTATCAAATAGAGCCCTCAGCTCTCCTCGATCCTGTTGAATCTGTCGCTTAAATGTGTAAGAATGGATGTTCTCAATGTGCAGCCTTTTACGATTTTCTCACCAAGACTTCCTCCAGCCCAGCACCTCACATTGTTGTGCATATAAATGACCAGTGAAACATTTGTGTCTTGTTGCCCCCACTATTTTAAGCAGTCTAGGATCTGTACAGACATAAATACCTGTATCGACTCTATATACTCTGAGCTGAATCTTTATAAGTGCGTGTTAAACTTCAGTGTTTCCTCTACATTCATCCTGTGTGTAAAAACCACCCTTTATTATGTGGGGGGAAAATTGGTTAAATTTTGATTTTTACAAGCTAAAAGCTTGTTCAAAGAGTAATTTGTAAGGCACTTAAAATTACAGAACGTTGAGCTTGAGGAGTTCCTCAGGGAGCCTGTTTGGTTACCCTAACAGTTGCTTTTGCAACACTCCTGTTTGATAATCATTCTCAACAGATACTTCTTCCTGAGATCTCAATTTCCTCCTTTTCTTCACACTTCTTAAGATTTTAGAGGAAACATTGAACTGCAGTGATCTTCAGAAGACAACACAAAAACACTAAGCGTTTTTGACCCCACATTTTGCGAAGCTCTCGAGCGACAGTGCTGATCTGGAACCTGCCATCCATGCTCACAGAGTTTGTTTAAAAGGCTAAACGAAAGTGATTAAGTAAGCCCTTTTTGGTCACTAAAACCTGAGTGGGTTGCCTTAAAGAAAAAGCCTAGAAAGTTCAAAATGTCTTGTTTATTTACTCCCGCTACATGTGACTGTAAATTTTAAGTCTATGGCAACAATAACAAAAAAATGTGAAAATACACTAAAGTGCGACGTGAAACTGGAAAGTATATCTGAAAAGCATCCCACTAGGTTTTCTTGAGCAGGAATGTTTTCACCAGCTGCAGAGTAAAAAGCTTTTGACGAGTATTACAATTGAGCATAAACCCTGGAAACATTATCACAGAGCAGACAACTGGTCCCGGTCAGCGCTGAGCCTCTCAGCTCAAGTCATAGTTTTTATCAGCTGAAGTGATCCACGTGATGTAAATAAATGTGGTTTTTAGATTGTGAACATTTGTGTGGTCTTTTTTGTCTTGCTTTTTGTTTTAAAAGATCTCCCTACAAAGATGATGCTGTTTTTTTTAATTCTCTGATCAAGTGATTAATTTATATTAATTGGACTCTGCTCACAGCCACGGAGGGAACAATTTCTATTTTGTGTAAATTGTTGGTTAAATGTGGAGCTAACAGACACCATATAAAACAAATCACAAGTTTCAATTCATGCATCATGGGCATGAATGTTGATAATTTCAGGCTTTTAATGATTTATATCAACTGTTCTTTTTCCAAGGTGGAGTGATTATAAAACATTCAGTGATTTAAAAAAGGAACGGGATGAACAAGTTTCAATTTATTATACTTTTTGGTTTTTCTATTCCTCTCAAGGTCAAAATCATACAGTACATTTATGACTGTTAACATTTAAACAGTTAATACTAATTCTCCTAATGGAAAATTTGATGATGCCAATGGTCCTAGCATGTTATTTGTAAAACAGTATTTTTCTATTTTTATCCAACATTTTATTACTTTTAGTTTTTAGCCAGATACATAAATATAAGTATTGTATAAAGTGATACTTGAGTAAAAGTACAACTATCTTGCTATAAAATTACTTTGGTAATAGTCTCCTCTAAGAATATTTCTTAAGCAAAAGTCTTAAAGTATCTTTTTTTTTTTTTACTTAAGTATAAATAGTAAATTTCTGACATAAAATTTACTTAAGTATTGAAAGTAAAAGTACTGAGTAAAAATGAGCAGTTAGATTTTATGAAATTATTTTTATTGGGAGGTGACCTCCCAAAAAAAGAAAACATTTTTCTAAAGACCAAAATGTCTATAATGTCATATTAAAATGTTAATGTTACAAAATTTAGGATGCACTACTAGCCTCCTCCATAATGTTTCGAAGCACAACAGCACAGGTTGGTACATTGACATTCACAAACATCTGACTGGCACTACACCATCAGGGCACCCTAAGCAGCATCCTCATGCCATCATTATAAGCGACCTGAAGTTTATTCATACTGCTTTTCCTGTAACGCCGCCACAGGTGGGCTGTATACATTGGAGTACAGTATGCTTTAAAAAGTGCAATTTTGACAGATGTTGAACACATGGAGAACTTCCGAAGGAGAATATTAGCTTGTACATATTGAGTACAACGCTGCCTGTAAATGTCTCCATCATCAGACAGGTCAGCGGTGATGTAGTTAGTGTACAACTCTGATAAATATATACTTGTGCTCAGGTAAGCTTTTTTAACAATCACCTGTCCCTGTTTGATACAAGGAACTTGGTTAGGAATGTCCAAAGAACCATGAACAGGAACACCAGTGTCCCCGTCCACAGTGAAGACAGTTTTACATCAACGTGGACCATAAGGACTAAAGGTCAAACCTGGACTGAAATGTGCAGCCGCCCACGTGGATGAGCCAAATGTCTTTTGGAGAAAAAAAAAAGTGATGATCAGACAAAACCAAGATGGAGCTGCTGAGAAGTCAAGGTGAGGCTTTCAAATCTACGAACATTAGCTCCAATTTTCAAGCACGGTGGTGGTAGCATCATGTCTGTCCCTAAACTGAACTGTGGGTGCCCAAGTTTTAAATTATAGATTTTATCTCATCCACAAAAGGTTTAAAATATACACACAGGCTCAAAGTGATACTGTACACACACCTCTTAATATTTACTAAATGTCGCACAGCATGGTGCACCTTGCAGCTAGAATGTTCATAAAGTAAGTTTCAGTTCCATGTTTAAGAAACTTTTACAAGTTGAAAGAAATCATATTTGAAAATGTTGCAACAGTGTATGTCGTAGTGTTTCTTTTGATCCAGTCAGAGGGGCTGATAAGTAGAGCCACTTTGTTCTGAATAAGAAATGTGCCTTTAAAGTCATTGTGTAATGTTTAAATTCTACCTCATTAAGTACTCTATTGGGGAAGTACCCAAACAGAAGTATTTGTACTCAGTTTAAGAAAAAAAAATAGCATCTGGACACCCCATTATTATCCTTACTATTTTTTATTCTTCAGTCAGCTAAAACATACAGTATTTGCGTGTTAATGAGTTTACATCTTTGAGCAAATTTGCTATTAAGGCATTAAAATGTCAACTTAATAAAGTCCTGTTAGATGTTAAGATTCTGAAGATTGTTTAAGTAAAAAGTAAATATGAAATACACCAAATTGAAAATTATTTAAAATATGTATTATTCTAATGTAGCTAGTAGATGTGAGTCATATCCAACAGCAGCATCTAACTAATAAAAGCAAATACTGGACTTTATAGCCCCAAAAAATACAATAACTAATTTAAGTATTTGTTGGGCATCGTTCTACAGCTGAATCATAGGCTTGAAACAACCTGGACTATGACTACAGCGGGTAAAATAAGTATTGAACACGTCACCATTTTTCTCAGTAAATATATTACTAGAGGTGCTAATGACATGAAATTTTCACCAGATGTCGGTAACAACCCAAGTGATCTATACATACAAAGAAATCAAACCATAAATGTCCAGAAATGAAGTTATTTGTAATAATGTGGAATGGCACAGGGAAAAAGTATTGAACACACTTACTGAAATTTATCTAATACTTTGTACAAAAGCCTTTGTTGTCAATGACAGCTTCAAGACGCCTCCTGTATGGAGAAACTAGTGGCATGCATTGCTCAGGTGTGATTTTGGCCCATTCTTCCACACAAACAGTCTTCAAATCTTGAAGGTTTCGTGGACCTCTTCTATGAACTCTGATCTTTAGTTCTTTCCATAGATTTTCTGTTGGATTCAGGTCAGGTGATTGGCTGGGCCATTCCAGCAGCTTTAGTTTCTTTCTCTGAAACCAACTGAGAGTTTCCTTGGCTTTGTGTTTGGGCTCATTGTCTTGTTGAAATGTCCAGCCACGTTTCATCTTCATCATCCTGGTAGATGGAAGCAGATTTTTATCAAGAATGTCTCTGTACATTTTTCCACTCATCCTTCCTTCAATTATTTGAAGTTTGCCAGTACCATATGCTGAAAAACAGCCCCACACCATGATGTTCCCACCTCCAAACTTCACTGCTGGTATGGTGTTTTTGGGCTGATGTGCAGTGCCATTTGACCTCCAAACATGATGTGTATTCTGGCATCCAAACAGTTCAATGTTGGTCTCATCTGACCAGACTATATTCTCCCAGTATTACACAGGCTTGTTTAAATGTTGTGCAGCAAACTTTAAAGGAGCTTCAACATGCTGTTTCTTCAGCAGTGGAGTCTTGCGTGGTGAGCGTGCATACAGGCCATGGTGGTTCAGTGCATTACTTATTGTTTTCTTTGAAACAATCGTACCTGCTAATTCCAGGTCTTTCTGAAGCTCTCCACAAGTGGTCCTTGGCTCTTGGACAACTCTTCTGATAATTGTTTTCACTCCTCTGTCAGAAATCTTGTGAGGAGCACCTGGTCGTGGTCGGTTTATGGTGAAATAATGTTCTTTCCACTTCTGAATTATGGCCCCAACAGTGCTCACTGGAACCTTCAGAAGTTTAGACATTCTTCTGTAACCGATGCCATCATTATGCTTTGCAACAATAAGGTTGTGAAGGTCTTGAGAGAGCTCTTTACTTTTACCCATCATCAGATGGTTCTTGTGTGATACCTGGTCATCATTTGGGACTGAACCAGCTGATATTAACTTGCACTGACAAGGGGCAGCCTTGCTTTCTAATTACTGAGAGAGTTCAGCTGGTGTCTTGGCTTTCCATGCCTTTTTACACCTCCCTTTCTTCATGTGTTCAATACTTTTTCCCTGTGCCATTCCACATTATTACAAATAACTTCATTTCTGGACATTTATGGTTTGATTTCTTTGTATGTATGGATCACTTGGGTTGTTACCGACATCTGGTGAAAATTTCATTTCATTAGCACCTCTAGTAATATATTTACTGAGAAAAATGGTGACGTGTTCAATACTTATTTTACCTGCTGTATAAATAAATGACTATTTTTGCTCCTGCTCTTCAAAATGATTTAAAATAAATACCAGGTGCTGAGTTACAAAGAGTGCAGTCATGTTAGAATTTACAAACGTGCTTTTAGAGGATGACTGGTAGTTTGTAAGAGGAAATTTAGGTCATTTTAGAGAAAGAGGCTCCAAAAAAGCTAAATCTAGCAGCATTAAAACTCATAAGATGTATACAAATTATATAAACTGGAAACTTTATGTTTTCTAATACTTTATTCAGAAGTAAAAAAAGAAATGTTTAATTGGATGATACAGTATATATATTAGACAAAACAGTAAAAAAAGTTTTATTGTGTTTTGTGTGACTGATTCATGTGTTCATTGTCCAGCAGCTAGGCGAACGCTGACATGGCCCACTGTTTGACGTCAGTGGGGCATTGTGGGTACTTCTGCAGTGCTTCCATGATCTGACTGTGATCCAGCATGAGTCTCATCAGCTGGTATTCCCTCTGAGTTTTGGCCGCGGAGCCCTCTACGGGCCGGATGAGCTCCAGCTGCTGCAGGTGCTCGAAGGCCTGAGTGTGAAAACAGAACGATCACATAAGCCGGGTTCCCACCAAACGTGTTTGGAGCAGCCAAAATGCTCCTGTCGCATGCGTTTGGATGCTTGTCAACAGCTGTCCGTTCACACCAAACACGTCTAAAGACACGCAATGGGAGGAGCGTCTTTGTTCTTTGTCCGGTCGGTTGATGTTTGAAATAAAGATAAAATAAATAAAATAGCTTTGCTTTATTTACTAAAGAGCAAGAGAGCATTGCGCACAGAGCAGATAATTTACCAGATAATTTAGAGGTGCTCTCATTGACTTTTTTTTTTTTTTTTTTTCAGACCGGGACCAGACTGGAGGCTGTAGAGGGAGGAGGGTCTTGGTTTTTCTCCGGTCGGTCTTTAATGACGGGTGAAATAAAGATGAAATAAATACAATGGTTTTGTTTTATTTACTAAAGTTTCGCCACTCCAGGAACTGCGAGCTGATCCTTTTTCTGTCCCGAGCTCAGCGAGTTGCTGCTGTCTCATCACATCGGTGCTGATCTCTCCAGCTAAAACACTAACTGCAGACTGTCGATTTCAGCTAAAAAGGCTCCTGTCAGTCTGTGTCGGGTTCATGAAACCGTCAAGTAAAAAAAAAATTCTCTCCTGATTGGTTGCTGCTGCATGTCGAGCAGCCAAAGTTCAATTTGTTGAACTTTAGCAGCCGCCATGTTGCGCGCTGCTCTCAACTGGCAAAACGCTCCGCTACGTGCTGCGCTGCTCCTAGATGCGCGTCCACCATAGACTTTGCATGTAAACTGGCTGCTCCAAACGCATTTGGTGTGTGCCCGGCTTTAGAGCTGCCGGTGGGATTCTTGGCCTTTGTTTCTCACCTTCATGATGACAGGCTGCTCGAAGTTGTACATGGAGCTGGACTTTCTCTGCAGGAACTTCTTGAACTCTGAGCGTGTTGAGTGGGGAGAGAAAACAGTCAAGGGTCAGAAGCTCCAGGGTGGGCTGAATTTACAGTGGGGGGAACTAAAGCCATAGTAACCAACAGCTGTGCCACACAGCCCAGTTTATTCCAGTGTGTTTGGCACAGCTGTTGGTTTCTATGGCTTTAGTTCCCCCACTGTAAATTTAACATTTTAAGTCTAAATCCTATATTTGTTTCCTTGTTCTCGACACACCGGAGTGACTGAACAATTATTATTTTTCAGTAGCAAATGTTAAATAAAAGCCAAAAATACTGTATATAAAAACACTAACAGACTGTGCAAGCTTTAAGTCTGATTTATACTTCAACGTGATGTGAGATGGTAAATCAGTGATTATGTCATTTCGTCTCTGTTTATAAACATGAAGAAATTTATAGTTATTACAGATTAGTACTGATGTTAGAAACAACACGAGATTATTAGGGTTTCCTTTTTATAATATTTTTATAATGTTTGATCTATTATGTGTTAATTGATATAGAGTAGTTACATGTCTGAATCATAAACAACACATTAGTGAACCGTTATAACATTAAGATGAGATTTTTGTCTGAATGCCTGTGATTCAGCCGTAGGTCAGTAGGGGGCGAACTCAGGCATTGAAGAATCGTGTATAAAAAGATGTTACTTCCTGACTCTTGGTCAGTGTGGTTTTCCTTGTCAGCCAGTGACAAATAAATAAACCTCACTCAGGTCCAGAATTCTGGTGTTGTATGACTTTATTCCTTTCACAAATCAATTTATTTAACTATTGTGTTTTCATCTTGACTTCAGCCGTATTGAACACATATTTTCTTACAATCACATAGAAGATGCAGAGGATAAACTCTCATACTCCCTCCCACAGCACTCTGTGTAATACAGGTTGTGCGCAGCTCTGCATAAGAACAATAGTGATAGCAGGGTAGGCAGTTGTTGTTTTTTATCCCACTTGATGATGTATCATGTTTGAATAGAGGCTTGTGTTTTTGTAAACCGCAGCGATGAAAAGAAGATGTGGACATCTACTGTATGTTTGCACACTCAATAGGATATATTGGTTAATATTTTAGACGGCCGATATGTGTTTTTTTTTCTTTGTATCAGCGTCGAGCGATAAGTGCATGTGTTCACTGATCCATTAGCGCATTCAGCAGCCGAGTCTTGAGATCACGTGACCACATACACAGCTGCTCCCTACCTGGCAGAGTATCTGGTGACATTAAAGGAGCAATATCATGTAAAATCAACTTTTTTGAGTTTTATATCATGTTATAATGTAATACTCTCATAAAAAACATGCCCAAAGCCTTGCTCTGACTCAATCATGCATGTTTGAGAAATCCTGCAGTGTTTTTAGGAAGCCATGCTGAGGAGCAAAACGACAGGTGGGGACCAGAAACGCCCCTGGGACGTGTCTTTAAGCCGAGCTTCTTCATCACGGAGCACACCTCCCCACTCCCCCTTCTACTTGCTGAAATGGGCGTGACTGAAGTGTTTGGATTTTCTTAAAGAGACAGAGACCTATTTTAAGGCGTTTAGAAACTGTCAAGATGAGAAGTAAATTATTTTGTGGATTTTTACAAATATATAGCTCTTTCATAAGCTGAAAATGTGACAGTTACTTTATTCCATCCATCCATCCATTTTCTTCCGCCTATCTGGGGTCGGGTCATGGGGGCAGCAGCTTCAGAAGGGAGGCCCAGACCTCCCTCTCCCCAGCCACTTCTTCCAGCTCCTCCGGGGGAACT